GGCAGAAGAGGACGAAACAAAAGATTTTAAATGTGGTTAATGGCAGAAGAGGGACGAAAACAAAAAATGGCAACAATTGCCTTATATGCGATTAACGGCAGCAGAGGGACGAAAACAAAAAATGGTAATAATCGCCTTACGGGCGATTAACGGCGGCAGGGGAGCGATAAGAATGAGTGGCGGCAGGGGAGCGATAAGAATGAGTGGCGGCAATCGCCTTATGGGCGATTAACGGCGGTAGGGGGGGCAATAAGAATGACTGGTGGCAATCGCCTTACGGGCGATTAACGGCGGCAGGGGAGCGATAAGAATGAGTGGCGGCAATTGCCTTATGGGCGATTAACGGCAGGGGGGCAATAAGAATGACTGGTGGCACCGCGTTACGGGCGATTAACGGCGGCAGGGGACAATAAGAATGAGTGGCAGCAATCGACTTACGGGCGATTAACGGCGGCAGGTGGGCAATAAGAATGAGTGGTAGCAATCGCCTTATGGGCGATTAACGGCGGCAGGGGGGCAATAAGAATGACTGGTGGCAATCGCCTTACGGGCGATTAACGGCGGCATGGGGGCGATAAGAATGAGTGGCGGCAATCGCCTTACGGGTGATTAACGGCGGTAGGGGGATAATAAGAATGAGTGGCGGCAATCGCCTTACGGGCACACACACACACACACACACCCAAATACACCTTACACAGGCCACACAACCCAACACACCTTACACATCACCAATGGCACACACACCCCAACACACCTTACACATTGCCCACGCCACACACACCCCAAAATACCTTACACATTACCCACGACAGACAGACACCCCAACACACCTTACATATTACCCACGCCACACACCCCAACACACCACACATTACCCACGGCACACACACACCCCAACACACCATACACTTTACCCACGCCATACACACCCCAACACACCTACACATTACCCACGGCACACACACACCCCAACACACCTACACAAGCCACATACCGCAACACACCTTACATATACCCATGGCACACACACACCCCAACACACCTTACACATTACCCACGCCACACATAACCCAACACACCTTACACATTATCCACGCCACATACACCCCAACACACCTTACACATTACCCACGGCACACACACGCACCCCAACACAACTCACACATTACCCACGCCACACACACCCTAACACACCTTACACATTTCCCACGGCACACACACACACACCCCAACACACCTTACACTTTACCCACGACACACACACACTCCAACACACCTTACACTTTACCCACGGCACACACACCCCAACACACCTTACATAACATAAGAACATACATAAGAACATAAGAAAGTGGGATACTGCAGGGGGCCGACTGGCCCATACAGGGCAGATCCCTTTCACACCCATCCCAGCACTTCCATGTGCCTATCCAACTTCGTCTTGAAGCTCCCTAGCGTCCCCGATCCTACTATAGCACTCGGTAGCCTATTCCACATATCCACAACTCTATTACCAAACCAGTTTGCCTATATCCTTTCTGAATCGGAATTTATCTAATTTAAAGCCATTTGTTCTAGTTATTTCTGTTGGTTACTGAGCTTCAGAACATCTTCCATTTTACCCTTGTTAATCCCACTTACCCACTTGTACACCCTTCATATCTCCCCAACTCTACGCCCTCTAATGAATGTAAGCCTAAGCTTTTCAGTCTTTCTTCATATGGAAGGTTTCTAATATTATGAATCATTTTTGTCATTCTTCTTTGTACTCTCTCCAAAGAATCTATGTCCATTCTATAATAAGGACACCAGAACTGAACCGCATAATCCATGTGTGGCCTCACTAATGCTAGGTAAAGTTTCAAGATAACGTCAGCAGTTCTGTTACTCACAGACCTAGATATGAACCCAAGAATCCTGTTTGCCTTGTTGCGAACGCTAATACATTGTTTTCACAAATACACCTAGATCTTTTTCACAAACTGAGTTTTCTATTTCCGTGTTACCTAGTTTATACTTAACGTTTGTATTCGTCTTCCCTATCTGTAGTACCTTGCATCTATCAGTATTAAAATTCATTTGCCAGTCTACTGACTGTATAGATATGTACATACCAAGATATGTGAACACGCCTGACACCAGGACTCTTGTTACCATTCATTGTACCATTTATTCACATGTCTGTATTACTACATATTATTATAGCATGTCTGATGTCCATGCTTATGTCTAATGCCTATGTTCATTCACTATGTCCCGATGTACTATGTCTGTACCGCGCTAGTCGAGTAATTAGAAGACCTCATTTATTGTCCTAGGAATGTCTAGCAACTCCCCTTGCCTGGCTAGCACTCTCAGATTCGGCCACCACGGCTCACACCAACAGTACAGTGCAAAGATTGACGATTAACCCACAAGTGATATACAAAAGTTGCAATTTCAACTCGAAGGAAAAGCTCAAAACACAGCAATACTGATTGTGGCTGGATCTGACCTAACTTGACCTGACCTCACGGCTTCACCTGACCTAACCTGAAGGATGGAGGAAACCTGAATTGCCCCAAGCTACTGTCCTGGCCACACATCTGCCCAACCGCATCCAGCCCATATGAGCACGAACTGATTGCTACAAGAACAGCCCAGTCCCAACCATTGTAAAAATTAGCAACACCTAATTATTATATGTCATATTTGTATCACTTATGTCACTTGTACATCGTTTGTGAATCAAGAGACCCATTCCCCAATTATGTAATTGTATATTTTCAGCCTTCCGGCTGCCATGCTCTTTCAATAAACCGTTAATTATTATTATTATTACACACACCCACCCCACCACACCTTACACATTACCCACAGCACACACACACTCCCCAACACACCTTACACATTACCCACACACCCCAACACACCTTACACATTACCCACGCCAGA